AAAGAAGATCAAAACATACAACCAGAAGAAGACAACAAAGTCAAAGCTCCTACATCCAAAGCCTCCAAGGCCACGAAAGAGCTCAAAAAGGATTTTGAGAAGCAATTAAGAGAAGTAGAGGAAAAACTGGGAAGAGAAATGAGAGTGATGTAAGAAAATCATGAAAAACTAGTCAACAGCTTCCTAAAGGAGACCCAAAAAAATACTGAAGAAAATAACACCTTGAAAAAATAGCCTCACCCAAATGGCAAAAGGAGTCCAAAAAGCCAATGAGGAGAAGAACGCCTTCAAAAACAGAATTGGCCAAGTGGAAAAGGAAATCCAAAAGCTCATTGAAGAAAATACATCCTTAAAAATTAGAATGGAGCAAATGAAAGCTAGTGACTTTATGAGAAATCAAAACATCGTAAAACAAAACTAAAAGAATGAAAAAATAGAATACAATATGAAATATCTCATTGGAAAAACAACTGACCTGGAAAATAGATCCAGGAGAGATAATTTTAAAATTATTGGACTATCTGAAAGCCATGATCAAAAAAAGAGCCTAGACATCATCTTTCAAGAAATTATCAAGGAAAACTGCCCTGATATTTTAGAACCAGAGGACAAAATAGAAATTGAAAGAATCCACCAATCACCTCCTGAAAGAGATCCCCAAAGGAAAACTCCTAGTAATATTGTAGCCAAATTCCAGAGTTCCCAGGTCAAGGAGAAAATATTACAAGCAGCCAGAAAGAAACAATTCAAGTATTGTGGAAACACAATCAGGATAACACAGGATTTAGCAGCTTCTACATTAAGGGACCAGAGGGCTTCAAATATGATATTCCAGAGGGCAAAGGAGATAGGATTACAGCCAAGAATCACCTGCCCAGCAAAACTGAGTATAATTCTTCAGGGGAAAAAAATGGACATTCAGTGAAATAGAGGACTTTCAAGCATTCTTGATGAAAAGACCAGAGCTGAATAGAAAATTGGACTTTCAATTACAAGACTCAAGAGAAGCTTGAAGAGGTAAACAGGAAAGAGAAATCATAAGGGACTTATAAAGATTGAACTGTTTATATTTCTACATGGAAAGATGATATTTGTAACTCATGAGATCTTTGTCAGTATTAGGGTAGTTGGAGAAAAAAACATATGTATAGATAGATTGATAGAGGGCACAGGGTGAATTGAAGATGAATGGGTGATATCTGGAGAATAAAATTAAGGAGTGAGAGAAGATTATACTGGGAGAAGGAGAAAGGGAGAGGTAGAATGGGATAAATTATCTCATAAAACAGACAAGAAAAGGTTTTTACAGTGGAGAGGAAGTGGGGGAAAGTTCGAGGGAATGAGTGAATTTTATTCTCATCAGATTTGGCTTAAGGAGGGAATAACATACACACTCAATTGGGTATGGAAAGCTATCTTACCCTATAGGAAAATAGGGGGGAAAGGGATAAGAGAGGTGGGGAATGATAGAAGGGAGGGCAGATTGGGGTAGGGGGTGATTAGAAGCAAACACTTCTGAGGAGGGATAGGGTCAAAAGAGAGAATAGAATAAATGGGGGGCGGGATAGGATGAAGGGAAATACAGTTAGTTTTCCACAGCATGACTACTATGGAAGTGTTTTGCATGACTACACAAGTATAACCTCTATTGAGTTGCTTGCCTTCTCAATGAGAATGGGTGGGGAGGGAGGAAGGGAGAAAATTTGGAACCCAAAGTTTTAAAAACAAATGTTAAAAAATTGTTTTTACATGCAACTGGGAAATAAGATATACAGGCAATGAGGTATAGAAATCTATCCTGCCTGACAGGAAAATAGAAGAGGAAGGGGATAAGAGAAGGGGGTGAGGGAGATAGAAGGGAGGGCAGATTAGGAGAAAGGGTATTCAGAATGCATGCTGTCTTGGGGTTGGAGGAGGGACGAGATGGGGAGAAAATTTGGAACTCAAAATCTTGTGGAAGTGAATATTGAAAACTAAAAATAAATAAATTAATGAATAAAAAAACACACTAACTGTATGACTATAAACACAAACACACACATACAGTGCCTCTGTAAAGCCTTTCACATGAGATACACACACATACCATGCACATATAATATTTTAATTATAGGGGGTAGTTCACTGGGGAGGAGGAGTAGATTTCACCTCTATCTCCTGGTTTCCCTGGCTTCCTCAAGATTCCATTCAAAGCCTCCTCTTTGCAGAAAAGTCACTCAGGCTGCATTAGCTCTCCCTGTCAAAGTACCACCCGATCTAACCTGTATGTGTCTTGTATAAACCTAGGTAGTTATTGTTTCCCCCATTAAACTGTGATTTCCAATTTGAACATCATCTACATAGAGATGATAGCTGGACTTATAGGTTACAATGAGATTACAAAGAGAAAGAAACCATTAAGAAGAGGAAAGAGCTCTGATGTACACCCATAAATGAGGGAAGATATTGGGGGCACATGATAATGACTTTATAAAGAAGACCAAGAAGGATGTGTCAGATAAAAGTAGAAAGAGAGCTCAGAAGTACCCATGGACAAGAGAGAAGACAGAACAAGGGAATGGTTAATGGTGTCAAACACTGCTAAGAGATCAAGAACAAGGACTGAACAAAACAAAGGATTTAGGAATAAAGAGACCATTGGTTACCTTGCAGATAGCAATTTCAGTCTAGTGGTAGAGACAGAAGTCAGATTGCAAATGGCTGAATAGTGGCAGATGAGAAAGCAGAGACAAAGAGTGTATGAAGCTTTATTGGAGCAGTGTGGCTAGGAAAGGGAGGAGAAATACAGGGTGATAGTCAAAGGGATAGTAGAAAAAAATTAGCTTCTAAGAATGAAATGTGAGCATGTGTGAAGAGAGCTGGAGAGACTTTTTTCTATCCTTGTGGACATACTTTTTACATAGTTGCAATCTGTGTATCTATCATTCCAAGTTTTACTTTTTCATTGTATTGCTTTGTAAAACTTCTGATATTGTCCATGAACATATTATTTCAATGGCAATAGAAGACACTGTTTCATTTTCTTATCAGTCAACTTAGTCATTTCCCAACTCCCTCATAGTTTCACTCTTTTCTAGGTAGGAATTAATTTTCACTAGTATAGCCACACTTTTATAAAGTTTCCCATGTGACAAAGACATGGATATGCAAGGGAGCTTCCAGAAGTGGTTCACAAAGTCTGTCTGAAGTCAAACAGACTGGAACAGTGAAAAGAGAACTGTATTAGGACTTATGGGATCAAGTCCTGGCTCCTGGCTCTTCCACTATTTAGCCGTGTGACCATAGGAAAATCACTTAATATTTCTGGCCCTCAAGTTTCTTATCTGTCAAATGGGGATAATAAACTATATGCAAATCATTATTAGTAATATGCACATTATACATGTGACAATAGCTTATATTTATATATGACTTTAAGGTTTACAAATCATTTTATTTGTTGGCATATCTGTAAACATATCCATAAAGAGTTATTAAAAGTTTTCAAATTTGCCCCATAATCTTCTTAAGAAGAAGCTTGGAGGACGGAATGGCATCTTTAGTTCTCAGAATTGGAAAGATCTAACAGGTACCAAGGGGCTGGTCCCTGCTCTAATCTCAAAGTGAATAATTACATACCAAGGGAGGGAAACACGAGAACCCTAAGAGGGCCTGTAATTAATGTTATCATAAATTCTGCCCCATGTCCTGAACTGGTCCAGCTCAGGGGCCCTAGGTTGGTTTTTGTTTCTTTTTGTTTTTTGATTGGAACTAGATAGGTGACTATTTCCCACTATTTCATTTTATTTTTCAAAAAACAAGTATTTATTTTCTCTTCCTCCTTACTTTGATGTTTCCTTCCCCATTTTCCACTTCTCCTTCAGGTTCTGCCTCACCCTCACTTTCTCTCCGGGCTCTTCCCCCAACCCCACTTTCTGGTAGAGTAGGAGTTCCTTGTGGGCAGGGGCTGTTTTATTTTTGTGGTTTTATTCCCACAGATGTAAGCGCTTTATAAGTGCTCGGGCTATTTCCTTTAAAAAAGAAAGAAAGAAAGAAAGAAAGAAAGAAAGAAAGAAAGAAAG